AAGTGGCGACGTGCTTTCGGCACGTCGCATAAGCTGCCTTCGATAGCTTTTTAAAACACCAGAAAAATTAAGCAGGAAAAAGTGCCCTTTATTTCTTCCTGGACACCCCCCCTTTTCGAAAATCCTGGATCCGCCCCTGACAGTGGATGCACAACAGGAGATGCACACAAGGCATGGACTAGATTTTTTCGATGGCTTGGAGGCACACTCTTATTATATCTTCTTATTTTATTCTATCTATTCTACTTCAAGAACTTCAGCAAGTCTCCAGCAACCGCATCCATATTCCCAAAATTGAACAGTTTCTAATAAACAATTCAAAATGCTGTTCGGTTACCACCCTTCACCAATGCAATAATTAAAGAAAGCGATCTCTGATTACATCTTAAGCAAAGTCCGAATAAAGAAAGGGTCAGGTAAGCTGAAGCACTCACCTGGGATCTGACTGACTGTACTGGACAAGGTGCTCCACACTGTTGTGTCGTACATTGAGTCGGATGTCATCCACCGTCTCACGACCGACATCGCTGGAATCGTTCAACAGCACTTGTCGGATGCCGGGAACCTCCAAAGCGTATCTGATTGAGCGGAGACCCGACGCCGAGTGACCGCCGAAGATAGTAATACCATCCTACAGCCAGCAATGATTCATGTATGAAAATAATGTACGTATAGCCAAACCAGTGTTAGTCGTCTCCTCTATAGAACAGACACTAGGGGTGCATAAGTGAAGTACAGTTTCGGCACTCCCACGCTGTGCAGCAAAACCCTGTTTACAAAATCGACACCTGCATACAAAGGACAGTTTTGCCATGAGTTGCGGTTATACGTCGAAACTACCTCTACATAATGGATACAGGTCTGTCTGCACATGACACTGTCCGAACATTCCTGTTCCGGAGCGACCCTTCTATACAGATTTTGACTGCAACATGTCTTAGCTAAACCACACTAGCCAGTAGGAACATTGCACAGAGAGGATCCCCAACTAAATAAGTTTCTATAATAGGCCTAGAAATAAGTTCAAATTATTTTAGATGAGCACAATGATTTCTTGTCTTGTCTTGTCTGGTACTGTACTGGTACAACTGTATAGCCAGTTGTGGCTATAGACGTAGTACAGGTCAATATATATATATGGATCGCTTTGATGTTCTAAATTTTCTTCACGTTTTCTGCAGGCACATGTTCTACGCTGTGGCTATATGCCCGGCAGCCGGCACCCTAACCCTCCTGTTTACTTGAGAAATCACCGAAAATTAAAAGCTGCCGGGCATTTAAGAAATTGAAGACAGTGCCCGGCAGCTGTCGGATATTTTCTAAGTGTCGATTGCGAGTTCGTTCGCTCAGTGATCCGAAGCTAGGAGAATTGGACTAGTTCGAATATACAGCTCTAACGAAAATCGCTTGACATATCTAAACAAATGTAGAATACTTTGGATCACGTAGTACACTGTTTACTTGAGAAATCACCGAAAATTAAAAACTGCCGGGCATTTAGGAAATCGAAGACCGTGCCCGGCTGCCGGGCATATAGCCACTTCGTATGTTCTATCTATGCCCAGCTTACCTCCCAGTACTCTCCAGGTACAAAGTCATTATCCGAAGTGTAACTTTGCGCCTTCTTTCTCTCGAAATTTTTCCAGGAAAATTGCTTGATTACAGCAATTCTTGAAAAGAAATTGCAAACACATATCAATGGTCGATAAAGGCTAAAATAGCTAGACATAGATTAGGGTTAAGGTTAGTCAGAAACTAGAATTCTACACTATATTCATTATCATGATTATGTGTGTTGCGATGTTAATATTCATCCGTTGCTGAGAGTACATACTATGGGTGCAAATCCACTTTAGGCACCTTAGGTATCACGAAGTGATGCACAGATTTCTGTGTATCATCAACTGATGCACAGATTTCTGTGTATCATCAACTGATGCACAGAATTCCCGTATATCAAGGAATGATGCAAAAACCCTAACCCTAACCCTAACCCTAACCCTAACCCTAACCCTAACCCTAACCCCAACCCTAACCCTAACCCTAACACTAACAGTAACACATATCGTGAACACATATTGTGATCAGTAACACATAACGTGATACCTAAGGAGTAAGGTTATACTTTATGACTTGGGGTTAGGGTTACGGTAGGGTTTTTGCATCATTCCTTGATATACGGAAAGTTTGTGCATCAGTTGATGATACACAGAAATCTGTGCATCACTTCGTGATACCTAAGGTGCCTAAAGTGGATTTGCGCCCTGACCAGCAGTGCAAAGCTATTAACTGGATTAATCTCGACTTCTTCTTCTATTCCGCACAGTTAATTCATTGGAGTCCTTTCCGTCTTCGATATATAGTCCCTTGGACTTTGAAGAC